AAAATTCACCCCATGTAGGTTGGAGGTGGGAATGGGTGAAAAAAATATAAGGTGGGTCGGGTGATGGATGTAGCCCTTTCCGATCCACACCTGACCATTGCAATGAGATAGATATATAGATAGATGATGAGTGAAGAGTGATATCTTAAGTAGCTAAGCTATATATATAGATAGATATATTTTCCAGAAGTCATTTTCCTGTTTTCCAAACGGACTCTAAGTTGATAACTTAAGTAGCTAAGCTATATATGCTAGCAATCGCAGGGTGTAGGCTTCCATTCTTATGGGTTGTGGACAACCCTATACAAGCATTTGAGGTACTGCTGAAAGTGTTGAGACACATTTTACAATAACTTCACCCCAAGTCTCTCGAATACGAGCCGTATAACTCTAGAGATTAGAAAAGTAATTCTCGCAGGAATATAACATTAATCTTATGAATTTTTTCGTTTTAATTTGACCTAAAAAAAATTTCAATTAATATCTATAGCCTTTTCCATTTATAGTACAGTACCTACCCTTTTAATTTATATAGTTGACCGGACCTCATACGACTTCAATAATATCACACTCTCTGTATTTATATTATGTATATATAACAACATAACGTACCGAAGAAGCCTCTCAAAGCCTCTTTTGCAGGGTTTGAATTGTAAGTATCCATCCAGTATGGAGAGCATGATGAGTGGTTTAAGATGGAGAAAGCAGAGTGGTCTCAAAGCTATCCAAACAAAAATAGGCAAAGTTGCAGAGATTGAAATGAAGGCTGAGGAAGATGATAATGGATATGGAGAAGAGCCGTTGAGTCCGTCGGCTCGGATGTTTCATCAGCCCAACTTCAACGTGCACGTCATAGCAGTCATGGGGAGCAAATGCACCATCCAACCCCAATTAGTCAAGCAAAATTTAGTGCATACTTTGCTTAAACACCCTCGCTTCACTAGCGTCCTGGTATATCTCTCTGTCCTATCTTACTTGTCCAGTTTACTATTTATCACCCGAACCAAATACATAAAATGGTATAGATAGAGTGTTAGATATAAATGTAGTATATACTCTAATGTTTCTAAATAGAATCTACGAGAAATTTAACCTCTGTAAGTCTGTAACAGCAGAAGCTATGCTGATCTTCAGCCATAATTGATAGTGGACTAGTAAAATAACCTTAGCTGTTTTGTTTCATACTTCACTTAGAACCCTGGATGGTGTATTGACGTGGGTATTTTATTTGCAGGTTGAGGATGAGAAAGATAAAGGGGAAATGAAATGGGTGTTAACGAAGGTGGAGTTAGATGACCATATTGTGATACCAAAGGTGGAAGAAGACAATAATAATCTCCTTCTCCGGGAATCAGGAGACAAGTTTGTAGAAGACTACATTCAGAAGCTGAGCAAGACAAGCCTCCCGAAATCAAGACCACTCTGGGACCTCCACCTCCTAAACCTGAAAACCTCCGACGCCGAGGCCGTCGGCGTCTTGAGAATCCACCACTCCCTAGGCGACGGCGCGTCCCTCATTTCCCTCCTCCTCGCCTGCACTCGCCAGACCGCCCATCCCCACAAGCTTCCAACCATTCCCACCAAGAAACGGAGGCCCCCCCGCCCCGCCGCCGCCGCCGCTTCAAGAATGTGGCCGGCGGCATGTCTTGTTTCCCTGTGGTGTTTCCTAACCTTGATGTGGAATAGCTTTGTGGACGTGTTTATGTTTGTGGCCACGGCTTTGTTCTTCAAGGATACAAACACACCAATCAAAGCCACCACCGGCTCTCACCTTCATCCTCGCCGGGTGGTTTATCGGACTGTCAGCCTAGATGATTTCAAGCTCATTAAGAACGCCATGAACATGGTAATAATTAAATCTTCTCCCAAAAAGTTGATTCCCAGCTCTAAGGGTCTCCTACACCCCGACCCGATAGAACATTCGGAATATGTAAATCACGATAACGAATCAGCAAACAGGGTCAAATGCTGATGCACAACATAAGGGATGTACCCATTTTGGACATAATTCTCACCGCAATGTTCAAATCTTGGTCTCTTCTTATTTACTTAATTGCTTATAAACCATTGAACTAAACCTGTGGCAATAATTAAATCTATTAATAATAAAAATTGTATATATTAATTATGTCATTATATTACCAGCTGCTTATTTATTATGTGTAATTCCCTACTACCATTGCACAGACTATAAATGACGTTGCATTGGGAGTTGTCCAGGCTGGTTTGTCAACCTATCTCAATAAGAGATACGGTAAGTCTAACTTATATATACTCTTTCTGTCTCATTTTACTTATTTGTTTATTATTTATTCTTCGGGTAAGCTGTTTTTTAAATTCTTTGCTTATTTTATTTTTAAAATTTTTAAATTTAATTTTTGAGTTTATATATATACTAATACTAAATTTAATATGAAAAACTGAATTTAAAATAACTTCAGTCAAATATCTTTAACGAAACCAGACACATAACATTGAAACTCCAGATTTTATTATTTACCAATAGAGTCTGATTTAATTTAGCAGGTGATCACGACAAGGAGGACGACGGAGAGATGGAGAAAACGAAACACCTCCCCGACAACATTCGACTTCGATCAACTCTTCTTATTAACTTAAGACCATCTGCTGGAATTCAGGTTAATCCTAATCCTATATAATTAGTCACATTATTAACTTGGTAACCGTAATTTTATATGTTCAACTCACAGGGAAAACACTTAAATTGAATAATTTATTTTAGTCCCAAAAGAAATGACTGAATGAGTAGAACATGACTCGGCAGGAATTAGGTGAAATGATGGAGAAGGAGTCAGAAGCAAAATGGGGAAATTGTATAGGTTATGTAATACTCCCCTTTAGAATTGAATTAAAGGAGAATCCTTTGGATTATATGAGAGATGCCAAGTCAACTATTGACCGCAAGAAACGTTCCCTTGAAGCTCTCTACACTTTCTACATTGCCCAATTTGTACTCAAGCTTTTCGGCATTAAGGTACGCATGCACTTTTACTACAATTTTAAAAGTAATTTTTTTAAAAAAAAAAAAAATCATATTCAAACAATGTTACATGTAAAAATATTTTTACTAACTATATACGCATTGTGACATAAAGTTGCCATAAATCGCAAAAAATAAAGTGACACTAAACTAAGTATTTTAATATCAATTAATTATATCATATAACATGTCACATCTAAGAAAATTTTTACCAATACAAATTGAATGATTCTATTATTTTTCGTATAAGCTAAGATTTGATATAAACAATATTTTTCTTAACTTATATGCCCTTCAATTTTTGGTATGTACAGGCAGCAAGCTGCTTATCACACAGAGTAATTGAACACACAACAATGTGCTTCTCCAACCTGGTTGGTCCTCAGGAGGAAATCGGTTTCTGTGGTCACCCCATGGCTTATCTTGCTCCTTCTTCTTATGGACAGCCCCATGTAAGTATGTATATATGTAGGGTTATGTTTTTTACCTGTGTGTGTATATATATAGGGTCAGGTTTTCGTGGGGATAGTATTTTCTGTGTCGTTGTGCGATCACTCACCATTAGACATGTATACATGCACTACAAAGTGTTTGAAAATGCACCATTATGTGTGATGCAATGCATTTTTTGGCGTATTTCTGAATATTGTGGTGCATTTTTGCATACTTAATAATGTTGAATCTGCACCGGCCACAAGGGAAACACTATTCGCAATTGAACCAGTATCTATCTATGTATAAAATGATTAGTGATCAAATGAGACCACATCCCTCCGTGACACTGTGCGGACTTGTACATACCGGAATGCACACAATTTAAAATTCCAGTCACACAATTATCTACCAGGCATGGAGTATGTAGTTTAAATTGTGTGCATTCGTATAGTAGTTTTTGTGCTTCCATGTTGGTTCGCACAGACGAGGGTGGTCTCATTGGAACGTCACCTTATATACAACTCCAACAATATCTTTGGTTTTTTTTCCTGTCTTTTTGCTAAAAATGCTTTTTTCCCCATATTTATTCAATTGAATTGATATATATATATATATATTAATAAAAATAAAATTTAAATTTGTGCAGGCACTGATGATTAATTTTCAAAGCTACATAAACAAGATGACGATGGTGTTATCAGTGGATGAAAACGTTATCCCAAATCCGCACCAGTTGCTGGATGATCTTGAAATGTCTCTTAAGCTAATTAAAGATGCTACCCTAGCAAATTCACTAGTATTATAAATAGTGTGTTCAAATTATTTTTAACATCATATATTATTAATGCATTGTAACGCGGACCGCCCACTCAACCCATCAAGAAGAATATATGTATGGCACTTTAATTTCATTAAGCGAATCAACTAGTATTTATTTTTTAAAGACCAAATACCAATTTTGATCCCAGGAGTATGAGTAAAATGATAGTTTTGATCCACATATTTAATTTCTACTAATTTTCATCTATGACTATTATTTTAGTGCCAAAACTCATCACAACGGTCACCCCTCCGTTTAAGGCATGCCAAAATCTAAAAATTTTAAGGGTATTTTCGTCTTTTTCAACTTAAGATCCCAATTTGAGAATGATAAAGATATTTAACTCTAAGATCAATTCCAATACGCAGTTTTTATCCCTCATCCTATCTTAATTTGAGGAGAAGAATTGTGAATTGGGATTGATCGTCTTAGGGCTTAGATCTCTTTATTCATGTTCAAATTGGGATCTTAATTTGAAAAAGACAAAAATACCCTTAATAATTTCATATTTTGCATGTCTTAAACGAATGGGTGACCGTCGTAATAAATTTTGATACTAAAACAATAGTGGTGAATAAAAATTAGTACTAAAACAATAATTGTGGATGAAAATTAGTAGGAACTAAATATATAGACTAAAACTATCATTTTGCTAATACTCGTGGAATCCAAAATTGGTATTTGCCCTTTTTAAAAAAGAGAGATTATAGTCGATTATAAAACAAATGTTCATTATGTCTTAACCGTTGAAAATTCACACACCTATTTAACATCGAACCTTTGTACGACAAAATTTTCATTTCAATCAGAGAATGCTAACCTTCAAACTATATGCCATTTACCAATTTTTAAGCAACGCCTCACTTTTCAGAAACTCAAATTTTTGAAGCCCATTTCAGGGGAATTCAAAATTTCATGGTTGAATGGTGAAGGGTGATATGATCATCCATCACCTTAAACCCTTCTCTTCCTCATCTCCCTCACCCAAGAAAAAGGTGTGAGAAGAAGATAAGCCCCAGTTTCTTTTTCTTGTTTTTTTTTTTTTTTTTTTTTTTTTTGGTTTCCTTCATATATAGAGTCCATATATAGAATGGGTGCAAATTTGAGCTTCCCAGAATGGCAGTCTATGTCAAGCTTGGTGGCTTTCTTTCTTGTAATATACTTGATTGGATTTGGGATAGAAAACGTTGTTGCAGAAGATCAGCAGCATTGCAGGATCAATAATATTACCGCAATCCTTCCTCCTCCCTATGGAAACATGAGAAACATGATTTGTCAGAATGTTTGGGATAGCTTCACGATACGGGTAAGAACGATAACATTAAGCATCAATGCTTTATCTGCAATAAATAAGTAAATATATATAAACTCAAATGAAGGTTTAACGTGCTTTTGGTGCGGATGCACCATTAGGTATGAAAAAATGCACCAATAGTGTTAAGAAAAGCACGACAGTGAAATGCAGAATGAAACGCACCACATACCAAAAATGCACCATACATGCATACATCACCACACCTTATGATGCATTTCCGAACACTGTGTGGTGCTTTTATTAATACATAATGTTGTGTTTTTGATGATGCGTACTTAATTTGTGCATTTTGTTGTTGTTGTGCATTTCCTAACATTGTTGGTGCATATTTGTATAACTATTGGTGCGGCCGCACTGACTGCACAGGAAGGCATGACCACACCTGAACTCGACTATATATATATATATATATATATATATATAGTAACGAGGCTGACCAGACCGAATTGGACGAGTTAACTCGGCCGAGCTCGCCGCCAACTCAATTGAGTCGACCAAGTTGGACTCCTAGACTGCCGCCTAAGGGATAATTCGCCTCGGTCTAGAGACGCCTAGGCCAATTTTTACAACCGTGCATATATATGTGCGTGATCTTTATGATCATTATTTTCATTATTTATTCATTGACATGCAGTTCTCCCAGTCAAAAGACTATGTTGTTACAATTGTATTATCAGCTACATACACAACTGGATGGGTAGGAATGGGATTTTCCAGCGATGGAATGATGATTAACTCTAGCTGCATGGTTGGATGGATACCCCCAGCAGGTGGTAAGGGACAAATCCTTCAGTACCATGTAGAGGGAACGATGCCCTCCGAGATAAAACCCAACAAAGGTGAATTGCCATTGACAAAAACCCCACCCCTTGCTGTGCTCCAAAATGGCACAATATACTTAGCCTTTCAATTGGAATACCCAACCCCTCTAGGACCCCAGCCAGTGGTTCTTGCATATTCCTCTGAATATCCCCACCAGGATCTCCTCCTAACTCACCATGACGACAAAACCAGCATCATTTTCGATTTCTCGACATCCAAGGCGGCTGCATCGGCTAGCATCAAAAGAATGAAGATGATTCATGGGATAGTGGGGATATTGGGGTGGGGGTTTTTCCTCCCTTGTGGAGCAATGGTTGCTAGATACCTTAAGAATCATAATCCGTTATGGTTTTACCTGCATATATGTTGTCAGGTCACAGGATTCTTGTTGGGATTTGTTACTGTGATTGTAGGACTGCAACTCTATAACCAGCTGGATTGCGATTTCCCAACGCACAAGGGCATTGGCATTCTTCTCCTTGTCCTAAGCATTCTCCAGGTACCTTCAATTCACTCTCGATCTTATTGGGGCTCGAACTCATAACCTAGCTCTGAAACCATTTGTTATATCAAGGCCAAAAGCTATAGCTCACAGTGAACGCACAACTTTAGAGGGTGTTTAGTAGGGGTGCTTGGTAAATGACTATGAGCTGATTGAGTTTAGAAAAGTGTAAATTAGCCGTTAGCTGATTACATACAAAAGTAGTTTTCTCAAAAAACTTATCTAGCAGCTTTTTGAGTTTTAACATTTTGGAGCAATAAATTATTACAAAAAGCTAATTAATCAAACACTCATATTGATTATTTAACCAAATCAAACAGCTAACAGTGGTTAAATAAGTCAAAAATGACTGATAGGTTAACTATTTTACCAAACAAGGCCTTTTTTATAAATTGTCACATTTTCCAATGCTAGGTCATAGTGTTAGACTTGCTCTTCACAGGCCTTCATCCAATAATCTCGTGATGTGGGCCCTCATCCAATAATCTCGTGATGTGGGCCCTTTACTGGCCTCGGTCCAACAATATCCCTCTATTTTGTTATGCAAATCACTACTACATGCAATATCATGATGCAGATACTAATTAACTAACTAAACAAGATCTTTAATTTGTTTGAAGTTCAGATGTTCGCACTTTTCCTACGTCCCGATGAAGACAGTCCCTACCGAAAGTACTGGAAATGGTATCATTCATGGGTTGGAAGGACTGCTCTCTTCTTTGGAGCTTTGAACATAGTTTTGGGGATGCATTTTGCAGAAGCAGGAAGTACATGGAAGACCAGTTATGGAGTCATTGTTGGTTTGACCATATTGACATGTATTGTTTTGGAAGTATTTGTAGAGCAGAAGTTAAATGATCTGCCACCCCCTGCCACTTCCTGATGATCAATTTAATTATTTACATGAAGTTTAATTTACTGAAACAATATTAGACTGCTTGTGTAGCCCAGATGAATCTACCATAACAGCAAACAGTTTTAATAAAAACCCTAAAAATTCTTGAAAATTTCTTATCCAATTCTGAAAGTATATTAGAAACTTGCTCATATCTATCATGCCCAAAATATGTTTTATAAGCATGGAATGTGTTTTAAGTATTTGTGCAATGATATATCTGCAGAGAAAGGTGAAAAAGAGTACTGCACAGAAAGAAAGAAAATACTCTATGAAGGAAGAATTGCAATATTAAGAAAATGAAACTAGTGTCGTATCAAATATATAGAGATAAACTTAAGAAAATCTAGCATTACTGTTAGGCATGATTTAAATAACACAGTATCAGTTAAAGAGTAAAGGCAAGAATGATTTTCGTCTTCAAAATTTACCATTGCAAGGTAGGTCTAAAACTGAACAAATAGCATAAATAAAAAGTACAGCAGTAAAAAACTTACCCCTTAACTATAAAGGTATAGCACCAGGGAGGGGGTAGGTAGGGGTGGCGGGCAGGGAGCCAAAAACCTTAACTATAAATTCTAACACAAAAACTTAGAAAGAGCCACCACTATCTTCACAGGTTTCACTTCTTTGATTTTTTAGACACCCTGTGCAAAAGCAGCCAAATCAACAGAGAATTCGAATGTGGTACTTTGAGAATATAGAAGAGTATGAACCCTGAAAACTTACTGCGTTGGCTGGGATTGGGTTACCGGTGCAGGTGCTTCCCTCTCTCCTGGACCCTATGGATAGATGGGACAATCAATCTCAACTTCAATGTCAAGGTAACAACAAAAGTAAACAGAAAAAGACATGATTTTGAAAGCATTAAGGTGGCGATTAGTTCACAATAATAGGATTAAATTCTCAAAGGTAAACGTTACCCTAGGCTTAAGAGCACCTAAGTGGCCTAGGCCGATCAAGCAATAAGAATAAAGTTCAAGTACAGCAAAAACCAATCAAATCGCAAAATGCAGGATCTGATCTGATATTTAAAATGAAATTTCAGGAGTTTTTCTTACCTTGGCCAAGCGCTCCTCTCTCCTGGCAAACTTTCTTTCACGGCTTGCCTTGTTCTTTGCCCTCTTAGCCTCAAACTGATCTGATAATGTCTTTTCTCTAGCCTTCTCAGCCTTTGATTTGTGAATACTCTCCATCAGGACACGCTTGTTCTTGAAAACATTACCCTTCACTTTCATGTACATGTCATGATACATGTGCTTATCAATCTTCTTTGACTCGCTATACTTGCGAAGCAGGCGCCTGAGGACCCTCATTCTCCTCATCCAAAGCACTTTAGTGGGTAACCTAGCCTCCCTAGTACCCTTGCGCTTACCTTAAACAGCAAATTCCAAATTAGGAACAACCAAACTGACCAATGCAATAAATAAATGTTTAATGATAGAAATAATGCTATCCACAAGAACCTAGGTTACTGTATAGCACATATAGCACCACAAGAAAAATATTTTGGAATTCCAATTTAAATAAGGTCATGGGACAAATGGGTATTCCAATTTCCAAGAACTATTGGCTCATATGAAGAATCATTTCATTTTAGTTAGACTAACCATATCCAGAGTGACGGCCCTTTCTCTTAGCCTCCTTCATTCGGCGAGCACGAGATCTTGAGTGAATCTTGGTAGGCTTTCTGATAATGAAGCCATCCTTCACCAGCTTCCTTATGTTCTGGCCTATGCTTGAGCAAAACAAGTAATTAGAAAGAAGAAGTACCAAGAGTGCAAAAACACTAATTCAATCACAAGTATAACATTTAATGTGGGCTTTTGAGAGGAAATGAAAATGGTAGCCTCATACAGCAGCACTGCAGCAGTTTCAGTAATCAATTAAACTCTTAATCCATTTCACAAATCTAACACGATCAGAACAACTCCAATAAACATCTCCTGAAAGTTAGAACCTCACAGGAGCGTTGATTCCTAAGTATTACATACAAGCAACGCTAGGTAGTCCTTAAACGAAACGAAACTAAACAGATACCCAACCCGAGATCATCAAAACCAAGCAAATTCGAAGAAAACAGTATACAGAGTTGCGAATAAAATAAAATATTCAGTAGATACTAAGACCTGGCGAAAACAAAAACGAAAACTAAATGTAAATCTACATAGGGAAAACGAGAAGCTTACGAGAATTGGCCATGGAGATTTCATTGCCTTCGTTGGGATCGAGCCAAACCTTTCCCCGCCCACACTTCAGCACACTGGCTGCAAGCCTCTTCTGTAACTTCAACGACACCATCTTTGGTTCGGCTCTCGTCTCTCTCAGATGCAATTGATTGATGGATGAAGATAGTGCTATTATATCACAGCTACCCTAGGGTTTTGAAAAAGTTATAATTTCTTTTGAATAGGCTTTAAAAGATTTTGTCTTTTAAAATAAGCCATCGGCCCAACTAAGTGCAACTAGGCAAACTATTGTGTGGGCTCTAGTCCACACAGCTGTGTGTGGATCATAAACATAAGATATATTTTTAATATATTAAAAGTATATTATTTGTGTATTGAATGTATATTATTTAATAATATATATAAAATAATATATTTTTAATACTAAAATAATGTACTCTCAAATAATATACTTTACGTATATAAATAATGTATATTTAGTATATTAAAAATGTATATATAAAATAATATATTTTTAATACTAAAATAATGTACTCTCAAATAATATACTTCACGTATATAAATAATGTATATTTAGTATATTAAAAATGTACTTTTATTTATGGTCCACAAAATTGTGTGGACTATGATCCATGCAATAATGATTGGTGCAGCTATCGGTGACCGAAGTTCGTCTAGAAATTTAAAAAATGATTTTTATAAAATAATTTATTTTTTAAACAAATTGATATTGTTGTGTTTAACTGAAAGTCAAAAAATTATATTTTTCAGTTTAGCTAAAAATTAAGAAATTATTTTGTATATTACTTGTCACAATAATAATAATAATAATAATAATAATAATAATAATAATCTATCTATATATACTAATAAGAGCCAAAGAAAGTTATTAGGCCTATAATTGGTAGAAAAAATGTCCTATCAAATTATTAAATCAAATGAATGTTTTAGGTTGTTTAGATTTTAATTTTTTTCTTGAGATTTCCTAATTTATCATTAATTATACAATTATCCGTTAATTTATTCGTTAAATATTATCTTCTTCGTTAGTATTATTATAATTTTCGTTAGTTCACCGCTAACCGAAGAAAAGCACACAAATCCTTATAGAATTCTAATAATAAAGTCTTAATAGGGCCCTAACCCACATATCTTTATAGAATTATAATTACACCATTACTCTAATTCTAATATTAAAGTCTAATATAGAATTATAACCATACCATTAGTCTAATTCTAATATTAACGAGTAAATAAAAATTTAATACTTAAAATGTAATCGTGAAATTGAGAAAAGGAAGTTGGAATGGATTTTGAAAGTTTTGATCTCACATTGTTTGAAAATGTAAATGTAGATTAGTATATAGTTATAGGTAGTTTATGTTTTTTAACAAGTATGAAATATATTGTTAGAGGATTCTCTTTTGTGCAAAAATCAAGAATCAATGTGAGTTTTAAGTTTAATTTTGGATGGATGGACAAAGATTTTTACACCAAATAATATAATCTTATTCTATTTTTCCACCTCTCATATCAATATAAAATTGTAATACATTAGCAAGGCTTTGTTTGGCAGATCTTATTTAGGAGCTTATAGCTTATTTTAAACTACTAATAAGTTATAAGCTCTATTTTATAATATTTACTAAATAAGCTCTTATTTAAAAGAAGAGCTTATTTAAATAAGCTCTTATTTTTTTTTTTGAATGCTAAATAAGCTCTTATTTAAATAAGCTCTTATTTAAAATAAGAGCTTATTTTGGAACGCTACCTAAGGTAGCGTTTCAAAATAAACTCATAGCTTCCTAACTTTTTTTCTATCTTTATCTTTATTATTTTAAAGAAATATCATAATTTACCTTTCCCAATTAAAATCATTTTCTCTTCCCCTTTATCTGCAACTTTAATCGCAATAATAATAATAATAATAATAATAATAATAATAATAATAATAATAATAATAATAATAATAATTATTATTATTATTATTATTATTAATGGTTTTTGGGTTTTCGGACCCAAGGAGGTCCAACACAACCTTAAGGGCAAATTATGTCCTGGACCCGTGTCCACAATGAATTGTGGACACGGGCCCAAAACGACATCGTTTTTCAAAAAAAACGCGTCATTTAGTTAAAAAAAAAAAAAAAAAAAAAAATCGCGCGCGTTTTGCCGTTAACGGCGTTATTTTTTTTTTGGATTATGAATGTACAGTTATGCCGTTATGAATGTACAGTTATGCAATTATGAAATTATGAACACAGAGCTCTAACATTATGAACTTACAATTATGAACATATATAGTGATAAAATTATGACCATGGAGCTTTAAAATTGTGAATATAGAGCTTCGAAGATTATGAATGTACAGTTATAGAGTTATGAATCTACAGTTATGGAGTTATGAATCTACAGTTATGAGATTATGAATCTACAGTTATGGAATTATGAATGTACAGTTATTGATCGAATTATGAACAAAGAGCTCTAACATTATGAACTTACAATTATGAACATATAGTGATAAAATTATGAACATAGAGCTCTAAAATTGTGAACATAGAGCTTCGAAAATTATGAATGTACAATTATGGAGTTATGAATGTACAGTTATGGAGTTATGAATGTACAGTTATGGAGTTATGAATGTACAGTTATAGAGTTATGAACGTACAATTATGGAGTTATGAATGTACAGTTATAGAGTTATGAATGTACAATTATAGAGTTATGAACGTACAGTTATGGAGTTATGAATGTATAGTTATTAACATATATTAATAAAATTATGAACATATACTTCTATAACAAAGTGGTCTGAAATTAAAAAATAAAAATAAAATAAAATAAAAAGAAGATAACAGTGCCTAACGGCACTGTTACCCGTGTCCAGGAAGCATGCTGGACACGGGTCCAAGGCATAACGATTGAACCTTTAGTTGGAGGATACACCTTTCAATAAAAAGCTTGCTAAAAATAATATGAGCTCGACGATTTTGACGTGGAAACCGAAAGGAAAACCACGGGCCTTTTTGGGCGGTGCCAAGCCTAACTCCACTATGTATTTTGTAGGTGTCTTTGTACATACTTGTAGGGCTATGCTCTACACAAAGTGTTGTGTTTCTAATAATATAACAATAATAATAGAAAGAAGGGTGATGGAATGGTGTGGAAGAGTCCTTACATGTGTATGGATGAGTGGTGGAGCCTTCTTGGTATATTGTGGAATGAGGCCTTCTTGGGAGAGTAGTTGTAGGAGAGTGATAGTAGTCTTCAAGTGTGTAGGAAGAGTGCTTGGGAGAGTCCTCCCATGTGTGTATGAGTGAGTGGCCCCTTTCTTCTTGTCTTCCCCTCCTTTTTATAGCTAGTCCATCCCAAAAGTGTCCGTTGGACATTTAGTAGGGTAGTGATGGGTGATAATTAGGGGGTTATGGATAATAATAATAATAATGGGGTAATAAGTGGGAGGTTAGGAATGGTGGGGTAGTAAATAGGACTTTAAGGGTAGATAATTAGGAATTTAATAGGGGCTAACGGCTAGTTTTAGGCCGACCCTCTACCCGTGCCGATCCCACACTCGCACCGACTCCCGGGTCGAGCCGACTCCTCGGCTTGGCCCGTATCTCTTTTGGGCTTACTCCATTTTCCTCTTGGGCTTTGCTTCTTCTTCTTGGGCTTGATCTCTTTTCTTTTTGGGCCCCGAGCCCACGGGGTTCACACCCTATCAATTATTATTATTATTATTATTATTATTATTATTATTATTATGAGATTTGAAACAATATTGCTAGTTCATTATGAGATGCTAGATCATGATTATGCTAATAGTTTTTTTAAAAAAAAATTATAACAACTAGCTTAACAGCTCTTCAGTTTTCAGCTCCGAGCTTATAGCTTTTCAGTTTTCAGCTCCTTTTCAACTTTTAACTTCTAGCTTATAGCTTTTCAGCTAAGTTTGCCAAACAGAGTCCAAATACTCTCCTTTCAAAAATGTGTACCCAAAAGAAATAGATGTTCCAAAACTCCAATCGCTCAAAGTCCATCTTTTGGCTAACCGTCCGCTCATCTACTATTGCTTTGTTGGTGCTGTCGGGCGACGCTCTAATGGAGGGTTGAACCGGCGATGCCATTAGTAGACTCCATCATCCGGTTATTTTAGGAATAAGTGTTAGATCTCATATCATCTCCGGTCGTTTTTCAGGGAAGGCTTCTGAGGCTCTTCAGATCTGACAGGTTTTATACACTTTTTTCCATTTATTTTGTTTTCTTTTGGTTCTACATTATCACTTTGTTCCTTTGACTAGTTTGTTTTCTCTTTCGCAGGTTTTCCTCTAATTTCTTTGGCGAGTTCTCCCCATAAGCGTGGAATGATAAAATGGTCACACCAGAATTAAGCTTAGCTATGTTTGACCAGATCTGTGAAGAAGCACTGAGTTCATCCAACAACTTCGGCTTCAAATTTGTAAAACAGTCTGTGATCAAGTTTTCTATAGCCTTGCTAGGAAATTTTTTTCGATGTCTGACTGTAAAGAATGCATTACCATTCTAACGATCTGTATCGTAAACATTTCTGTTTCTGATTAATGAAGTTGCCTTTATTTTCCTTTCAAAAAAAAAGTAGCCTTTATTTTAAAAACAAAACCAAACAAAAAAAAAAACAAATAAACAAAAATAACAAAATAAAATAAAAACTATTCATGAGGATTCAAGAATATGTTAATATCAGGAAGGCCGCAAGTAATAGCTATTCCCCCTCTAGGGCGCAAATTATATTGTGCACAGCGGTGCATGATCGATCATGCACCGCGCATCAAAACGATGTCGTTTTGTTTCATGAAAAGAAACGGTGTCCGTTTCTCGCCATTCCGCTCCCTTCCGCAAAAAGTAACTCTGTTATTCAGTTTCATTTTGTATACACTGCAGTGTCAGTTCGATATAACTACAGTTCCATTCAACTACAGTTTCACTTCGATATAACTACAGTTTCATTCGATATTTATAGACTCAAATATGTGAAAATGTTATTTAACTTTATTTTATATACACTATAGTTTTATTAAAACACAACTACATGATCATTTTGATATAATTACAGCTTCATTGTACAATATACACTCAAATATGTGAAATGTTATTTAGTTTCATTTTATATACACTGCAGTTTCACTGCACCACAACTACAGTATCATTTTGATATAACTGCAGTTTCATTTGTCGTGAGGCAGTGTGGATTTTGATATACTGTAGTGTCAGTTGGTGTTTAATACACCAAATATGCGGACTCCGTTAACGGTAACGGCGGACCGTTTCTTTATTTAAAGAAACAGCGCCGTTTTTACTGCGGTCTACGATATAACGACTGCCTCTAGGAGGAATGGGTCATTCTCAAGAACATTGTTCCTGAGAATAGAAAGTCTAAACTTTTACCAAACAAAAGAATATACCTATTATTCGGAGGGGAATGCTATATTATTTCAGGCCTATTCTGCGAACCAAACCTGTCATAAAGCCAACACTTAAACTTGTCTAATTTATACCACAAATAATTGAGGTAAAGGTGTTAAAACAACAAATATATTAAAATTAATGAGTTAATTAAGAAACTAATTACACAGATAATTATTATATTAAATAAGATAATATTTATACAAATATTAGTATAATTACGATTAAACATGGATCGTTGAATTTTTTTATAATTACAATTAATTTTTTTACTATATATATAAATGCTGCAAGCTTCTTCTGTAGCTTCAACGATACCATCTTTGATTCTGCTATCCTCATATAATTGGATTGATCGATCAAGATATTGCTATTATATCACTGCTGCCCTAGGGTTTAAAAAAGGTTATAGCTTTGTTTTTTTATTTTTTAGTAGGCGATAAAAAATTTTGTCTTTTAAACCTAAGCTATCGGCCTAACAAAAAAAAGTCATTTATTAGTGCAGCAATCGGTGATCCAAATTTATCTTAAGTTTATTTTGAAATATGAAAAATATTTTTTCAAAAAAAATAATTTTTATAAAACAGCTTATTTTAAAACAAAAAACTTTATAGTGTTTAAGTGAAGAGTAAAACATTATATTTTTCTATTTTGCAAAAAATTAAGAAATTATATTTTCTATATATTATTTGTCATAATATAATCTATGAATAATATTAATTAATTAATTTAGTTTATTTTTTATAATTGATAATTCATTTTATTTTAATAGCATCATCCAATAAGAATAATGAATGTACTATATATGGAATTTGGATTGCTTGAACTATCAAATGCTTGGATTGTTGATGATGGTTAGACATGAGCCATTGAGTGTATTTATACTTATTCGACTTCTTTAATCAACGGTGGAGGTCTACTAAATTGTACGCTATAAATTAATCTTTAGCACCTTTCATAAATCTCTACACAAACCTATGAACTTATAGATTCTAGAATATTCTATAAATCTCTACACAAACCTATGTACATGTTTCTAGAAAATTTTATAAACAATGGGGAGCTATATAAAAGTGTAAGAAAGATCTAGAATCATGTAGCAAACCTCAAAAATATGTACTAAAGATGCACGGGTGCTACACTGTTTCCTTATTAGTTTGTGTTTCTAATTTACCCTTATTAGACTGGGTTACCAATTTACCCATTAGACTGTGTTTCTTCCTCATTGTCAGTTCCAATTTGAAGTCCTTAGGTTTTAATGTTTTGGTACACTTTGTACTGTTTTATTTAGATCTCCGATTTCGTCAAGTGTAAAGCATGTTTGAATGAGCATGATAAACCAATGCCCATGTGATCGTGCAATAGTTTCAATGAGCATATCCTTCTCCCAGAAGAAGGCAGTGAATGCCTTTTTCCAGACTGGAAGAAGGCAGCCGTTATTTTCGGAAGAAGGCAACCATTATTTTCTCTCGTTTGTTTTTTTCCTATCCCGTTTGTTTATTTCCTTCACCTCCCTCTCTTCCTCCACAACTCTTGAGTGTAATTCATCATGTCTTAACTAAAGGTAGAAAGATTACCTAAGTATTCAACACATTTGATTTTTTTATATGTGAAGTTTATTATTCGTCTAAATATACATTCATATGTTAGTGTTATAGAGCCATAATCATACTGTTCGACCACAAAGTCTTTAACATTGTATTGTCTACTTTAAAATTTATATTTTGCATCTTTATTAATATTTACTTTACAAAAATAATTGTGTGTATAACTTTCATTTTTTATGTAATTGAAATTGTTTCAAAATAACTTTAAATAATGTATTAATACATAATTGCACAGTTTTCTTTCATTCATAAATTCAATACAATAATTTGATTCTAACATAAAATTAATTACTTAGAGGTGTTTAGTTAAAACATTAAAATTAGAATTGTAATTAAAATTAAATACTTAATAATTATAATAAGTAAAAAAAAAAAAAACCTTTTTGTTTGACAATAAATAAGAATTTGAATCAACAAAAAGTTAAATTTTAAATAAATAAATCTATATAAGAGTTTGAAACAATTATTTGCTTGAATTCAGACAAAAATACCATATATAATCGATGCAACCCATTTTATCAATTGCTCAATATAATATTTTTTGTTATAATTTTTAATTGGCATATTTGTGAGTCATATTACAATTTTCTCAACAAAAAAAAAAATATTTTAAAAATGAAACTATGTCGTACTATCAGATATTAAGGGATGAACTTACGAAAATCTAGCATTAATGTTACGCATGATTTAAATAACGCAGTATCAGATAAAGAGTAAAGGCAACAATGCTTTTCGTCTTCAAAATTTACCATAGCAAGGAACTGAACAAATAACACGTAAAAAATACAGCAGTAAAAAACTTATCCCTACTAAAGCATTTGGACTCACGAGGGAGGGGAGGTAGGGGGCAGGGAGCCAACTATAAATTCTAACACAAACTTAGAAAGAGCCACTACTACTTTGAATTCATCTTCATAGGTTTCACTTCTTCAATTTTTTAGACACCCTGTGCAAAAGCAGCCAAATCAACAGAGAATTAAAATGTAGTAATTTGAAGAATATGAACAGTATGAACCTTGAAAACTTACTGCGCTTGCTGGGATTGGGTTACCGGTGCAGGTGCTTCTCGCTCTCCTGGACCCTATGGATAAATGGGACCATCAATCTCAACTTCAATGTCAAGGTAACAACAAAAATAAACAGAAAAGGACATGATTTTGAAAGCGATAAGGCAGCTATTAGTTCACAATAATAGGATTAGATTCTCAAAGGTAAGCAATACCCTTGGGTAACATGCTTGGTTAAGATTTTTGTTTTAGGTTATATTGTATAAATAAGTATATACACACCAATATATAAATATGTAAATAAATATTACATATACATTTGTATTTATTATAAACATAAATAAAGATTTAATTCCACCAGAGATCCCTTGTCTTTAGTGTCAATTCCATTTTTCCTTCCATTTAACACCCCAGACTATTATTTTTTGGACACTTTTAGTCATTCTCATTACTTACTTTTACTATTTTTAGTAAGGACATTTTTGTCTTTTCATATTTTTCTTTTGTTATTTTTTGGGTTTCAACCGGTTTAGAACTTTAGTAATCTCTGCTTTTTTGTAACTATATTTTTTAACCTGTTTTTAGTAAAGTTGTAAACCAATTAAACCAATTCAAACCAACAAAATAACAAATGAAAAATATGAATGGACAAAAATGTCCTTACTAAAAATAGAAAAAATCACGAGAAGGACTAAAAGTGTCCAAAAAATAATAATCTAGGATGTTAAATGACAAAAACGATAGTCTGGAACTAAATTTGGAATTGCCACCAAAAACAAGAGACCTTTGGTGGAATTAACCCCATAAATAAATGTATAAATGTAAATTATATATACATATGTATATTTAGGAAATTTCTAAGGTGCTCAGTGACATCATCACCCTAATTTGCACAATTGCACTAGTACAACAAAAAATGCAAGTTTGGTCATACTGGGTGACTAAACTAAATGCCCCCAAAAGGTGGAAACAATGTTGTAAATGGCGCTAGGCACTAATCAGGCACCCAAGGCCCCATACACCTAGGTGGGTGAGTTAAATAATAATAAGAAAAACACAGTAGTATACACATTGCATACCAAAAAAACACACAGCCAAGTTGGACGAGTCAGTCGCCTAGTCGGCTGATTAATCAGCCCTATGGGTAAAATCTTTAGGGTGGCCTAGGCCGATTTTTACAACAGTGGGTGGCAGGAGACATTAGCATTAACAGCATAAATCAATAAATCATGCAATAAGAATGAAGATCAAGTACAGCAACAAACAATCAAATCGCAAAATGCAGGATCTGATATTTAAAATGAAATTTCAGGAGTTTTTCTTACCTTGGCCAATCGCTCCTCTCGCCTGGCAAACTTTCTTTCACGGCTTGCCTTGTTCTTTGCCCTCTTAGCCTCAAACTGATCTGATAATGTCTTTTCTCTAGCCTTCTCAGCCTTTGATTTGTGAATACTCTCCATCAGCACACGTTTGTTCTTGAAAACATTACCCTTCACTTTCATGTACATGTCATGATACATGTGCTTGTCAATCTTCTTTGACTCCCTGTACTTGCGAAGCAGGCGCCTGAGGACCCTCATTCTCCTCATCCAAAGCACTTTAGTGGGTAACCTAGCCTCCCTAGTACCCTTGCGCTTACCTTAAACAACAAGTCCCAAATTAGAAGCAACAAAACTGACCAAGGTAATAAATAAATGTTTAATGATAGAAATAATGCTATCCACAAGAGCCAAGGTTACTGTGTAGCACAAAGCACCACAAGAAAAATATTTTGGAATTAAAATGACTTAAGGAGTATAATAATTCCATGTGATAAATTATAATTTCATGAGTGCAAAACTATTACAATCTCATTTCACCCAAGCTTCAATTTAAATAAGGTTATGGGACAAATGGGTATCCCAATTTCCAAGAACTATTGGCTCATGTGAAGAATCATTTCATTTTAGTTAGACTAAAAGCTTTTAGTGTAGGTACCATATCCAGAGTGACGGCCCTTCCTCTTAGCCTCCTTCATTCGGCGAGCACGAGACCTTGAGTGAATCTTGGTAGGCTTTCTGATAATGAAGCCATCCTTCACCAGCTTCCTTATGTTCTGGCCTATGCTTGATCAAAACAAGTAATTAGAAAGAAGCAATATCAAGAGTACAAAAACACTAATTCAATCACAAGTATAACTTTTAATGTGGGCTCTTGGGAGGAAATGAAAATTGTAGCCTAATACAGCAGCACTGCAGCAGTTTCAGTAATCAATTAAACTCTTAATCCATTTCACAACTCTAACACGATCAGCACAACTCCAATAAACTCTCCTAAACTTAGATCCTCACAGGGGCGTCGATTCCTAATTATTACATATAAGCAACGATAGATAGTCCTTGAACGAAACGAAACTAAACAGATACCCAAAACCTTTCACCCCGAGATCAACAAAAGCAAACAAATTCGAAGAAAGCAGTATACAAAGTTAGGCGGATAAAATAACATATTCAACATCGATACAAACCCTAAATATCTTCAGCAGAAAATAAGATCTGGCGAAAATGAAAACTAAATGTAAATCTACATAGGGAAACCGTGAAGCTTACGAGAGTTGGCCATGGAGATTTCATTGACTTCATTGGGATCGAGCCAGACCTTTCCCCGCCCGCACTTCAGCACACTGGCTGAAAGCCTCTTCTGTAACTTCAAGGATACCATCTTTGGTTCCGGTTCCGCTCTCGTCTCTCTCAGATGGGATTGGATTGATGGATGAAGATATTACTATTATATCACAGCTGCCCTAGGGTTTTGAAAAGGGTATAGCAAGGTTTTTTATTTGTTTAAATATAATTTCTTTTAATAGGCCATAGAATATTTTGTCTTTTAAAACTAAGCCCATCGGCCCAACAGCAAAACTGTCCATTGTTATGCATGGACCCGGGTCTGCTGGTAAGGTGGACTCAAGTAAAAAATGCGCGTTTGACATTAGAAAATTTTAATTTTGATCCATTGACTATTGGAGTTGTGTCAATTGCAACACTTGACTTTAAAAATGTTAATTTAGTACCTTGATTATGTAATTCTTATCAATTTTGGTCATGCCGGTCAAATTACCAGTCAAATGTGATCGAAATATCCTAGTGTATAAAAAAAATACTAGTGTACTTTCAAAATTTTACCTCCTCTCACAAATTTTGAATGTAGACAACTTTTTATGGACCCCACAAGATGAAAATGTCATATCCATGCTTGTCACGGAGTATAACTGATAAAGTAGAATAACAATAACAATAACAATATAATGTTACCCAAAAGAGAATTAAAAAAATTTAAACAAAAAATAGTATTTATTTAAACTATCGCTTTTAGACTTAGTACTTAGATTAGCTTTATTACAAAGTTGCAAACATTTATTTTGGTGACAGTTATATATAATCAATCTCTCATATATTATCTTTCAGTTATATAAAACGACGTCATTTTGGACATGAGTACACAACATAATTTCATGTATTATTGCCGCAATCGGTGATCCAAGTTTGTCTAAAGTCTATGTTAGAAATTTGAAAAATATTTTTATATAATAATTTATATTTTTAAAAAAATTAATTAATTTTTAGTGTTTAACTTAATTTCAAAAAATTATTTTTTCCTGTTTAGTTAAAAATTAAGAAATTATATTTTTATATTATTTGTCATAATATCTAAAAACATAATAAGTCTCAATCAATGTTATATCATTAATTTATGTCCATCCTTATACTAATATAAATGTATATATTTTATTTTAAATATTGTACACTTCAATATTAATTATTAGATAAAAGTACTTTTACACCGTTACTTTTTATTCTTAACATTGATAACTCCTTCATTATTACCATAGAGTTATATCTATCATATCTTTTTCCTATTCTTAAAGTATCATCTTATTAAAATCACTATATAATTAATTTAATGGTTGATTATATTTTAATTAAATTCATATGAATAATAAATAGTGTGTATAAAATACATATATTATTTATGTATTTTTAATTATTTATATTTATTAATATTTTAATATTGTGCAGGCATTTTCACACTACCAAACGAGATATACATCATGTCATTACTTAGCAGCACCAATCAATAAGTAAGCATTGAGCAACACGTACTTTTATACAAGCTTAGCACCAGCCCTTTCTTCTATAGGCAGCATTTTTTTATTATGAAAAGAAGATTAATTCATAATCTCAAGATTCCTTGTGTAGAAGATATACATTGAGTATCCAATGGGAAGAAAAAGGAGATAAATTTGGCTATGAAGCTCATCGATTATCAGTTGCGATTGATGATTATGAATCGTATGAAATGAAGAAAATGAACACGGCAAATATGCAGGCGATATATTAATATATAATAATGTATTATAGATATCCATAAAACTAAGTAATACTTGATATTCATTTAGAAGTTATGGATAATTTCAGATCATCAGATCCCATATATCAGTAGGCTCTTTTCCAGACTACAAGCAGAGGCGAAACCACATGGCGTTTCCCGTCAGACCATATGAGCTTTCCCAACTCAGTCACAGACTTCCCCGGCGTCACCGCCAATTTCTCCTCCGCCGTAATCTCAACAACGTACTCCTGTTTCTCACCCTTCGCCGTGAAATCAAGTTTGGTCGGAGTTACCTTCGCCATTGCACCATTTGGGTTCGTCACCGCCACGTTGTACGTCGATGCGCCATCACCGACGTAGGTCACCGTCCTCGTAGCCCTAACCACCGTCGATGTCGGCGAGGAAGCATCGATCACTACGGAAATCGCCGGATAGTTGAGATCCCACGGCGGTTTCCGGTGTTCCCCGGGGCATCTAACTGCCTTCCGAGCAATTTGCCGCAAATCTTGGGCAGTATAGTTGGAGGAGCAGAGAAAGTTGAGGTAATCGTTGGGGGTAATATCGTAAACTAGTCCTGGGTCGACCGCCTTTTCCGGGCTTACGTGTCCGGCTCCCATGTCCCAAACGGTGGAGACGTTGTAGGATTTCTCGTCCATTATCGGGTTGCCTTCCTGGTCCTCCACGTAAGCGGTGGTCATCAGCGCTGACCTAAGCATCGCCGGGGACCACTCCGGGTGGGCCCCTTTGAGTAAAGCCGCAAGGCCGGAGACATGTGGACATGACATCGACGTTCCCGAAACAATGTTAAACTCCGAGCGCCGCGTGTCGGAGGATAGCTCCGTAGGCGCCACGTCACCAGGCCAAGCTGCCAGGATGTTCACACCTGGCGCGAT